CCGCGGCCTCCAACGGCCGCGCGTGCGCCCGCCCGCGCCGCCGCCCAATCAGCGCCCGCCGCGCGGGGGCTGCCGGGAAGCACCGGGGAGACGCGGCAAGCGCGGCGGGAGGCGCTGAGAGGACTACGGTTCCCGGCATGCTCCGCGCGGGGGTGGCCACGGGAACTACAGCTCCCGGCGTGCTCCGCGAGAGAGCGGCAGCGGGAACTACAGCTCCCGGCATGCTCCGCGCGCGCGGGGGCTCCCCACAGGAACTACAGCTCCCGGCCTGCCCCGTAGGGCTGGAAGGAGAGGATGAGGAAGAGGAAGAAGAAGAAGGGAAGGGGGAAGGAAACTGCATCCTACAACTACCGCCATGCCCCGCGGTTGGGGAAGAAGAGGATGAGAAAGAAGGGGAAGTGTGGCCTACAACTCCCGGCATGCCCGCCGGGACAACATGGCTGCCCTGGGGACAACTGCCGCCCTGCTCCTCTGGAGGGAAAAGCAGAGGAGGAGGAGGAGCAGCAGGAGGAAGAACAAGGGAAGAGGGGAAGGAAGAGGGCAGGAAAAAAAAACAAAACCAAAAAACCCCACCTGTGGCCTACACTTCCCAGCACGCCCCGCGCGCCGCTCCGGCCCCGTTCCCGGCCCCGTTCCCGGCCCTCCCAAGGTCAGCCCGGGCCCAGCACAGCACAGCGCGCACCTGCACAGCTGCAGTTTATTGTTCCACACAAGGGCTCAGCCCGCGGCTCCGCTCCTCTGCTGTGACCGAGACCGGGCCACAGCGGCCAGAAAGCGCCGCGGGGGCTCCGTGCTCACCGCGGGACGGCCCCGAGCCCCGGCGGCTCCAGGCGTGCCTGCCTCACAGCGCTTATCTACAGCAATCACAGAAATGGCAGCTAGAGTTTGCTCTGTGGCCCAATTAGACAAATATCTCCCTTTCTACAATATAAAAAATACAGAGATTTGCCGTTTTTGGAAGTAAAATGTGCATTATGTGACTGTGAGCAGGAGGTAAACCTGAAAACCTGGTGCTCCTGGAGCTCCCATCACTGCTGGCAGCTGGAGCCCAACCTTCCTCCACCCCAAACCACCCCAAGGCAGGAAAAACCCAAATTCAGCCCATGTTTCTCATGGCAACTAAAGTATTTCAAGTAAAGATGAAGTCGGGTTTCAGCATTTCAGAGCTCTGAGATCAGTCAGTACAACGCAAACCAAACCTGTGCAACAGCAGCTGTGCTTCCTGCTCCAAAAAAATCCACCCCAGTTCCCATCTTTGGGCTCTTGTTGCTTTTTTTTTTGCTTTTAATCCTTGGAAATCCCACTAGCAGTTCATAAAAAAAACAAAAACAAAAAAAAAAACCTAGGCAAAGGAAAGCAGGAAGAAAAAAAAAAAAAAAACAACTTCCCAGCAGTGAGAGAACTTCTCATTTTTCTGTCCTTTTTCAGTATTTTTCATCAGGGAACTGGTCCTGGCTTCACCAGGACTGTCCACCTGAAGGAGGAAGGCCAGGGCTGAATTTTGCTCTTGGCATATTAACGAGTCTTTAATAAAGAGTAACATGTGCAAAAAAAAAAAAAAAAAAAAAAAAAAAAAAAAAAAAAAAAAAAAAAAAAAAAGAAAAAAAAAAGCAAAAAAAGGGAATTTAAATAGATGAAGCCAGGTTTGCAGAATTACTGTGGCCAGAACAGCTCCCTCCTCTCCGTGTCCTCACCCGAGCCCAGGCTGGGGTGCCCGAGGTAAAACTGCACTGGGGAGACACCACCACAAAGAAGCAGGCACCAGGAGGTGGCACCTGTCACCTCCGTGTCCCTCTGCCCCAAAGCCAAGGGGAGCAGCAGCCCAGGGGAGGAGCAGAACTGCCCTTCTCTCCAGGAGCGCTCGCGGATTTCCCAGTGAGTGTCAGCCTTCCCAGCCTGCACCAGCAGCTGCTCGCCCAAACTTTCCAGAAAGTTTGTGGTGGGTTTTTGGTTTCTGGCTGGCTTTCCCCGGGATTATAGCTGGAATCCCTCCATGGGAGCCTCGGGCTGCTGGAAGATGTATTGCTGCTGGTTCTCGTCCACCTGCGGGGCCACGGCCGCGTCCTCCTCCACCCCAAAGTAGTGCTCGATCAAGTCAAAGGCTTTCTGGTAGATCTCCTGGTTCTCGTGGCTCTGCAGGAACTCTATTTTATCCAAACCTTCAGAGGAAAACAAACCAAAAAGTGGAATGGGATGAAACAAAGAAATTGGCTCTCTGTCCTGCACAGAAATCTGTGATAAATGCACAGCTAAATGTCACAGGCCAGGACACTCCTCTGGCTGCCCTGGAGGACTTGAGGGCCTGGCACGGAGTCAGGAACACCTGGGCCTTTGGTTTCAGCCCATGGAACAATTACCAACTCTGTGTGAAGGGCTACAAGCCACAGGAGTTTGAGTAGAAGGATGGTTGATTTGTCACAGGGTGAAAAAGCAGAATTTTGGGGTTTTAGAATGGGGGCTCAAGAGGCAAGATGGAGGAGTCTGGGTGTGTCCTGTCCTCCTCCTTCTCATTGTCCTCCATCTCCTGTGTGATGGTGACAGTTTTGGATTGGTTTAGAGATGGACTGTCTAACATAGGTGAGAGGAATTGGAAAATTATTGTGAATAAAGTACAAGTAGTTCTTAGTATAACAAACTAACACCACCCCACGGGTGGGCAGTGTGCCACAAACTGACCTGCCACACAGACCTCAGCAGCTCAGAGGAAGAATGTGAGATAAGGAAAAAGCAACAACCTTGAAAAGCAGAACCAACAAATCTCAACTTCTTCCTTGGTTGTGGAGCTGGGAAAAAGAGACTTTCTGACACCTCGGGGTCATCTCAACCTCAGAAACCCCAGAGCCCTGGATCCCAGCCCTGCCAGGCAGGTTCAGCTCGTCCAGATGTGCTCCCAGCTGCAGTGGGACTGACAAGGAGGGGTCTGGGGGCTGCAGGGCCTGTCCCCTGAGCCTGCAGCACCCCTGCCCCAGCTCAGTGCACAGTGCACCCTCAGGAATCCCAGGAATTCTCCTTCCAGGGAGAATCAGGACACTCGGAGTAATGAGAGGGCAAAGCAGACACTGCCAGCTCACAGGGAGCTGCAGACCAAAATAGGAACTTGTTCCTCCTCAAAGCATCGAGAGCAGGACCAAAAAAAATAAATCCATCAGCACCAAATGAAGTCACTGCAGGGAAAAGCAAAGTCTCCCTGGATTTCCAGTGTAAAACTGGGTAGATTCAGAGCAATTTTAGATCCAGAACTGTCACTTTTTACTTAGCTCAGCTCATTTCTGGTTCATATTCCCACCTGGTGCCAGCCACGATTTTCAGCTCAGACTCCAGGTTAGAGTTTTTACTTCCAAGTATTTTCTCATCACCCACTAAATGAGTTTGAAAATATTTTGGAACAAATATTGGCTATTTTGGAATACAATAAACCATTCAACAGAGCAGAAAAGCAACCAGGAGACCCCTGCAGTGCCCAAAGCCCCACCTACCATAGGCCTCCTCAATCAGGCTGCAGTAGGGGTTGATGCCAGTCCCACTCTGGTTGGCTTCCTGCTCTCCCAGTCTCAGGATGTTTTCCAGCCCATTCAAGGCCACCAGAACAATCTTGGAGTCCATGACAGTCAGCAGGTCACACAGAGGTTTGATACAACCCAAATTCACCAGGTACCTGCAGGGAGAGAGCAGCACCAACATCACTGCCTGCTCAGGAGCTGGGCAGCATCTCCTTGGCTCCATGGGAAAGCAAAGGAGATGAGTCCAACTAAAATCCAGAAACTGACCTTAGAACACACATTTACTGCTCTGCAAGGTTAATTTTGATCCATTTATTTGCATTGCATGCAGCCCTACTTTCAGAATTTTTTTTTAAATGAAAGGAGCCACTTCTGAAATCCAGGTGCTGCTCAAATTGAGTCCACACTGGAATTTTATCTGTCCTTAAATTTGAACATTTAACCTCAATTACCCAAAGAAGGATGGAGAAAATTTGGGATTAAATGATCCTCATCCAGAAGGAAATCACAAATTACAGCCCAGCTCTGCCTGTCTCAGCTCCTCTCCAGCATCTCTCCTTTGCCTGGAAGGTCCCCTGCAGGCAAAGCTGCCAGGAACTGAGGCAGGAGTGGCCCAGGAGGCTCAGGGAATACCTGATCTGCTCAGGGGTCCCTCCCGAGGTGGCGTTGGTGATGGCCCAGGCTGCCTCTTTCCTCGTGCGGAACTCCGCCTTCTGCAGGATTTCGATCAGCACCGGGAAGATGTTGGCATCAATCACTGCCTGGGGAGAGAGGCACGAGGGCTTGGCACGGCAGCACTGCCCCCAAGGCTCCTGAAAGAAAGCCCCACTTCCAACCCCCGTGGGAAGAACTTCCAGCTGAAGGGACTGCTGTGGGTTATTCCTCAGCCACACCCTGCTAACAGCAGATATTCCAGAACCAGCAGGCAACTCCTGGAACTGCACAGCACTGGGGAATGCTCACAGCTCTGCTCTGCTTCCCCATGGAAGGCAGGAAAAGGGTAATTAAACCTCAAGGAGCTCCAGCTCTTCCAAGGGATTGGGGATGGAGAAAAGGGGATGTATCTGCCCTAATTCCAATGATCCAGCCTGTGGGGTCAGTCCATGTGCTGCTGCCATTCCCAATTTTCATCCCCATTTTTTAGCTCGTTTGGCAGCAGCAAATTTGAAAATTGCTGCAGAATAAGAGAAGTGAACCAGTCCAGCCTCTAAGGGTCAGGGAAAGGGAAAAGCTGCCAATCCTCAGTGCTGAGCTTGGAACCTGGGATCACTGCAGGCAGGCTGGGGAAGACTGTACCTGGATTTGTGCTCTGTTGCCTGCTGTGATGTTGGATATGGTCCAGCACGCCTCTTTCCTGATGGATTCCTTGGGACTGCTCAATAAATGGAGGAGGCAAGGTAGGGCTGAGCAGTTTAGAATCACCTTTGGGGGAGAAGGAAGCACAAGTGAGATCACCAGTGCCAGGCACTGCATTCCCTGCAGGAAATTGCTCTCCTCTCACCTGGGTCTGGATGTCATCCCCTGTCACGATGTTGCCAACTGCCCGAAGAGCTGGAGAGGCCACTTTGTAATCATTGTGCCTGCAGCAAGAGTGTGCAAAAACAAACCCAGCCCCGTCAGACCACTGGGACATTCAGCCTGTTCCCTCCCCGTGATCCCATCTACACGATTTCCTTAGGATTCTATCCCTTGCCATAAAGAAAACAGGGTGAGCTGAACATAAAGCCACTGCAAACAAAGCTGCAACACAGTTTGATCCTTCGCATCCTGACTCCACCCCCTTTTTTTTGGAGAAACAAAGCCAAGCTGATTTCTCCTAGCCACTGCTCTTTGATTTGCCTCATAACCAGGCTTCCATTTGAAGCTGGAAGCACACAACATTCTGCAATCCTTAAGGAAATCTGGGAAAGGAGAAAGTTCTTCCCAGTTGTCTGTGTAGTTGACCCATGCTTAAAAAAATGGTTGAATTTCAGAAATTTATGGGGATAATGGGTTTTTTTATCAGTGAATTTGTAATTTTGGGGGCAGATGTTGAGACCAACACAGGTATCTTTCCACAGAACTGGAAAATCTTCAGCCCAGGAAGCCAAGCCAGCAAACCCCAGCTGTGAACCTGCTCCAGCCCCTCCTGGGCCAGCTCAGCTGCCTGGACCCCGTGTGCACGGGGGGTTTGGTGGGATTGAGATGGACTGTCACTCACATCAAGAGCTCCACCAGCCTCCTGCACACCCCTGAGTCCACCACAGCCTGGATCTTCTCGTTGGGACCATCGGACAGGTAGGACAGAGCCCAGCACGCGTCTGCCAGCAGGTCAGAGTCACTGTTGAACAACAATCGGGACAACACTGGCAGGCAGGGAGACACCTGCAACAACAGCCACCACCCAGGTTAGTCACCAGGCCAGGACCACCACAGCTGCAGGCAAACAGCCCTGCTCCTGCTGAGTGCTCAGGACAGCCCTGCACGGCCCCGCGTCCCTGCTCCCCACAGCCCCAAAGCCACCTCAGCAGCCTAAATGACACTTAAATGACACTGAGGAGTTCAATCGTACTGAGCAGTTACACTGGGAGCTCCTGTTGAAGAGCTCTGCTCCATTTCTGACTCTCAATGCTCAGACCAAGTTCACCTCAGTCATTTAGAAATGGGTTTATATTTACAATCAATTCAGATCTCACCCCTCACCACACGCTTCCCAGCGTTGATATTTAGTGGGTTTTCATTTAAATCAGCATGTTTTCACTTTTTAAAAAAGATTTTTGTGTTGCCAAAGGAGGAGGAGATACCTGAAGAGCCAGCAGGACCTTTAGTTAGGTTCCTGGACAGGGAAAGGCAAGATACCACAGCTCACAGGAATTCTGGTTTTTAGCATTTCCAGGTCTCAGAATAGCTGTTGATCGTAACTGAAGTCTCAAAACTCCAGAATTCATAAGAAAATGGTTTAGAGAAACTTTCTAGGGAAGCCTGGGCCTACCATTATTTAAGGGATACAGCAGAAAGGTTGGGAAAAATTAAATATGCAGATCAACCTCAGCAGGAAAAGCTCATCCTGTGCCCTCCTCGAGTTCAACAGCCCAAAACAACCCAGACAAGCCTCTTAACTGGGTGTCTCCCCATCTCCTGGCTGCCAACAGGGCATTTCTTCTCACCTTCTCAAATTCAGGAGGTGGACTCTTCCCTCTGCACAGGTTTGACAAGGCCCAGACAGCGTTTCGTGTCATTGTCAGCCTGGTGGACGTGGTGAGGAGCCTGAACAGAGAATTACCAGGGATTATTGTCCTTGATGTGGATGCAGAGGGACCCAAAAGAATCAAAACTAAAACATTTAGCTCCTGTTCAGCCCAGGAAGACTCTGCCAGTGACCCCCACACACCAAGTGGCACGAACTGCTCAGTCTGACTCAGGGTGAGGGGTCAGGCTGACACCAGGAGCAGCAAAAGCAGCTATGTGGCACAAAACCTCACTTCTCCAGCGTGGGATGAAGATTAATTCTTGCCAGGCCTGACAGAACTCATTGTCACCACGCTGAGGGAGGTGGTGTGAGAGACCTGATCCTACTCCAACCCAAAAAAATCCACAGCCCAAGCAGAGAGCAGGAGCTGAGGGACACCCTGTGACTCCAGAGGGAGCAGTGCCTCAGAGCTGCATGAAGGACTTTTATCCACAGAATCCCACTCCTCTGAGGCAGAGGTTTGACTCCCAGGGATCCCAGAGTGACAGGGAATCTGTAAGGAATGCTCTCCACAGATTCCCACTCCTCTGAGACAGAGGTTTGATTCCCAGAGATCCAAGCACTGCCAGGGATCTGTAAGGAATGCTATCCACAGAATCCCACTCAGAACCAGAGGTTTGACCCCCAGGGATCCCAGAGAATCTGTAAGGAATGTTCTCCACAGACTCCCACTCCTCTGAAGCAGGTTTCACCCCCAGGCAATCCGTGGCCCAGCTCCAGCCCTGCTCCAGTGGCACTCCCAGACCTGCTCACTGCTACTCACATTAACAAGGGAGGAAGAATGGCACAGTTCAGGACATAATCCCTGCACACAGAGCTGTCTCCAGCAATGTTCCCCAACGCCCAGACAGCCTGAAAGGAAACAGCAACAGCTTCAGCCTTCATTTTCTGAGAGGGAGAGACAGGCACTGTGCTGAGAAAGCAAATTTCCTGCAATTCCAGGCAACAATCTGTGCCCTGCAGCCAGCTGGGATCACTCCATTCCAACGCTGCAGCTTGAACATGTGCTTCTCCCCAAAATCCAGAGTGAGGAGAGATCCTTACCTGCTCCTGAACATCCTCAAAGTCAGAGTTTAGGAGCTCTATGAAGATGGGAACTGCCCCAGCCTCAATGACTATTTTGGTTTGTTGGGAGGTGCCCGAGGCGATGTTTGTCAGGGCCCACGCAGCCTCAAACTGAAAGGAGGGGAAAATGGGAATAACATCAGCCTGATCCAGCAAAAGAAAGGAATAAAATCAGCCTGATCCAGAGAAAGAAAGGAATAAAATCAGCCTGATCCAGAGAAAGAAAGGAATAAAATCAGCCTGATCCAGCAAAACAGCTCTCATGACATTCTGGCTACAATTCCTACAATTCTGCTGCAAAGGTTTTGGGAGAGAAAGGAAGAGAATTCCTCAGTACTCAAAGGATTTTATTTTCTTGAGCAATAAAAGAGCCACAGCTGTTCAAAGGATGAGCAAGAGATGTCACCACCACCTCATTTCTCTTCCACAACCATTTCTCAGCAAGAAACACAGTGCAGGAACACCCAAAATAGAACATTTTCTATATTTCATCCAACATCCCAAAGATGCTGTGAGTTCAAGGGAAGCTGAGCAGAAATTCCCTGCATTTGCTTCTCTTTTTTGGTTTAAAACCAGATTTCCATCCATTATTCCTGGAAATTAAGCTCTGGCTTGGGGCCAGAGAGGGCAGGGAGAAAGAGGAAAGCAGTCATCAGCTGGGATGAAATTCCATGTATGGGAGCCTCTTGAACCCCTCCAAAGAAACCAGGACTTATTCCCAGGCTGGAAGGAATCCCAGGAAGGCACCCAGGCCTTCCCTCTGCCCCAGGCAGGATCAGCACTGGCCAAAGCCATTTCTAACATTTCTTGGCCTCTCTGCCTCCAGCAATGGAGGTTTTCCCTCACTCAGTTTCTTCCTGCAGCTGAATTAGGTGATTTTTGCCAGTATTTTTCCAAGAATTTAATTCAGAGCAATTTACAATTTATTTTTTTGCCTGAGTATCACAGACTAGTTTTGTCTTCTCCTATAGATCACATTTTCGGGGTTCAAAATATCATTTTCCCCTCACAGCACCTGTGGGTTCACAGGTTAAAGAGCTCCACACCCTGAAGAATTGATAACAGACTCTGCTTTACCTGTAATGTGCAATTTTCACTTCTTTTCAGGAATTCCACGAACCTCTCCACCACTCCCTGAGTGTTTATCACCTCATCTATTGGAGGATTTGGCTCTGAAACAGCAAGGCAGTGTCAGGGAGTGAACAGGCCTCATGCAGGGGAGCAAGGAGGCTGAAGTGTTAATTAAATTATCTCAAATTGGGCTGAACTCATCAGGGCAGCTCTCAGAATGATTTTCTGTACAAATCACACAGCTGGCAATGATCAGCAATACAAAAGATCATCACATTTCTCAATTATGGATATTTTTTCCCCCAACCTGCAAAGCTTTTGTGCACAAACCCGTGTAAAAGGCAGGCTCTGCTGGATCCTGAGCAGGGATGAGTTATTTTTACCTTTGGAGAGTAATTTCCTGAATTTCTGAGTGGTTGCTAGCTGTAGGTCAGGGTCATCTGAGAAAAGCATCTCCACCATCTCTCCTGTGATCAATCCCTCCTGCAAAGAGGCAGAGGAGAACAGAAATGGTTTCATTTCACACTGAGATGATTCCAGCATCACATCCTACAATCTGGGCTTAGCCAGAAATCCCAAGATTCCAACCTGGGGATCCCAGCACAGCAGAGATCCTCCAGCTCACATCTGCAGTGCTGCTGGGGGAATGGGATGAAAGGGGAGGAGGGATAAAATGGAATTAAAGGACACTGGAGGAGGGGTTTACAGCTGGGAATAACCCTTGATAAAGCAGAGTGAGCAGCAGGATGGGTTGAGCTTTGCAGGGCTCCATTGGTGTCCCTCTGGATCCCTCAGGAATAAGTTTTCCCCTCAGGAATAAATCTCCTCTTTGCATTTTAGCCAAGGGTTTGTGGCTGTTTCAGCTGCCTGCACCAACTTACACAAAAATTCTTGAAAGTAAGGGAATAAAAGCACTGGATTTTGGCAGTTCCATGCAGGCACAGAACCCCAGGATGGTGTGGGTTGGAAGGAGCTTAAAGATCATCCAGTGCCACCCCCTGCCAAGGGCAGGGACACCTTCCACTAACCCAGGGTGCTCCAACCCCCACCCAGTCTGGGATAATTCCAGGGATGGGGCAGCCCCAGCTTCTCTGGGAATCCCTGCAGGGCCTCACCACCCCTAAAGCATTAAATTAAATTAATTAAATGTGTCTGAAGGCACCTTACCCCACACGTTGTGGAAGTGACGTAGGAATCCACCAGGAGACTGTCAAACATGGAGTCATCTTCATTGATCAGCTCCACATTCCTTCTTTTGAAGAGCTGGTGGGGAGCAGAACACAGGGGTTGTTATTAGACAGAACCATGAACAGGCTCCACAACTCGAAGTTCTTGTTCCCCAACCAAGATCCCTCCTGGACTGAAGGCAACCTGAATAAAGAGGGGTCATTAATAGCAGCTCTGCACTCCCAGGGTTAGTCTGGCACACAAGCTAAGGGCTAATTCTTGTTCTCAGATATGCAAATGCCCAAATCACTGAGCCACCACGGAAGGCAAGTGCAGAATTGGACCAAAATCAGGAAAACTGGGCAAAAAAGTAGCTTGGATAAGGTGCAAATAAAGCAAATATTTTGTTCCAGACATAACACTTGGGAATCACTTTGTGCTTCCAAAAAAGAAATACACCCAGGGTTAAAGCCATACTTGCACTTGCTCTTCCTGTTTCTCCAGGAAATAATCCCATTCACTAATTAGATCTAAAAAAACCCAACACTGCCTTTAAAATTAAGGATCTGTGAACAAAAAAAACCACCAACAACATGTGAGTTGGGTCCAGAGGAAAAAAAAAGAAAAAAAGAAGCAAGATCTCAGAACAGAAAAACTAAAGACTGCAAACAAACTTTAAAGCACAGACCCCTGAAGGCTGCACGGCCTGGGCAGAGCCAGGCTGCCCAGAGGGGGCTCAGTGAAGGCTGCACAGCCTGGGCTGAGCCAGGCTGCCCAGAGGGGGCCCAGAGGGTACCTGCTGCTCCCGTTTCTGTTTTCGAAGCTGGATCCCCTCCTCCTCTCTCCTCCTGCGCATCTCCTCGGGGTTCAGGGCTTTGTTCTTGTAGCTCTTCATTCGATAGTTTTCTGTGGAGACAGGAGAATTCTGCCTCAGGGCTCCTGCCACTGCTCCCGTGTGCTCTTCCACCAGGCACGGGATGGGCAGATGGAATTCCTCCATTTGCTCCAAGTGCCCTCGGTTTTCAGCAGCAATTCCCATTTCCCTGCTGCAGCACAGCATTTCCCCAGGTCTTTATTCCCAGAGAGCACCACCCCAGCAGAGGGAAGGAAGGGAGTGTGTAGGAACAGAGCAGAGCTGCAGCTGAGGGACAGCCCCGTGTCCCACCGGGTGCTCAGGACCTGACCCCACTTCTGACAAAAGCAGCAATTCCCCCCCGATTCCTCCAGAGTTTCCCTCCCAGCCTGTGTGTTCTCCCTGCCACTCAGGGAAGGGACATTCCAGGTTTTGGCACAGCTGAAGGCAGCCAGGGCCAAGGGTGGCACCCCCTGAGTGTCCCTGCTTTGAGCAGGGCAGGAACTCCCCAAACTCTCCCATTCCTGACATTATTTGCACATTTGTGCCTTTCTCAGCACAAACAGAGGCTCAGCTAGCCCTGAACCAAGTTACTCCTGCAGAACTCATTTGAAAACAAACATTCTTGGTTTTCCCCAGCTGCCAGGAGGAAGTTTGCAGTTTTATCTCCTCCTCGTTTCAAGCCTGAGGCACCCTCAGCCCTGCTGCTCACAGAAAGTTTCAGTCCCACTTATCAACAACCTCCAGCCACTCTGGAGCCCTTCCAAGACCAACTGCAGAAGTGTCAGACTCAAAAGTCCACAGCCAACCCAAGAAAAAACATCTACTAAACACAAATATCCAGCTTTTCATTACTAAGGAGAGAGAAAACAACAGGAAAAAAAATCAATATTTTAACAGGAGAGGAAACAAAACACTTTCAGTTCTTTGATTTCCCAAAACCAGCTACAAAGACACCAAAAAAGAGAGAAATTTACAGACTTCAGGGGTTTATATCTGACCATACAATAGCCAGGTGTCAATTCTCATTCAGAAAATGTATTTCAGCACCACTGTTATGTTTTTGTTTGTATTTCCACCCCATTGTGGCTCATGCAGCCACGGGGAGGAGTAAGAGCTGACAGCTTAGATCCCCAAACAAATGAAGAATTTTAATCCTCCTTTTGGAAAGCAAAGCCTCCAATGAGAAGGTGGTTTTGAAGAAGAGGAGGAAGGAGGAGAGGATGCCCAGGATCACCAGGCAGGGCCACAAAGGGACACCTGACAGCTCAGCTGCCTCCAAGCCCAGCTGTGCCAGGAGCAGCCAGGCTCAGGAGCACTCGGCACCTTTAAGGTCCTTTAGGGGTTTTTTGTCCCAGAGCATCAGGAACTCTCATCCTGCAGGGAAACCCCACAGAGAACTCTCAGGGCTGCTTGTCACCAAGTTCCCTGGTTTTTCTCCCACAGTTGACTCCTGCATTTGATTTCCATCGGGTTTTTTCCCCAGCCCATCATCTCCGGCAGGGCTTCAATGGCAGGAGAATGCTGATTCGGGACATTCCAGCCCGTTTCCATGGCAACGGGTGGGGGAAATGCAGGATCAGGACCTCACAGGGAGCTCTGGACTGCAGCAGGACCAAATGAAGCACAGCAGGACAAACTCTGTGCTTGGAATGCTTCAGCACCAAGCACTCAGCTCATGTGCTACCTCTGAACTCCAATTCCACCTGTGGGAACATCCCAAACCCAACAATCAGGGGCTGGGAGCATCTGGGCTCCCAGGAACGGGGAAGGAATCCTCTGCTCCTAAGGAAGAGACTCCAGGCACAGATTTTCACTTTACTCTGGAAAGATTTGCTTTTACAGAAGTGCCAGGGGGCACTGAACTGAGAGATTTCACTCAAGAAAACAAGAAATCTTGCAAGGTTAACTCAATTTAAAAAGTTCTGATCCAGCTGGGATAAAACATCCCTTCTGCTTTAGGAGCCCCACCGTCCCCCAAGTTGTGCCTTTTGTAGCACCCTGGATTAATGAACTTCATTCATAGCTCCAGCAAAAAGTAAAAAAGAAATTGAAAAAAAAAATCAGTATTTGCATTTCAAACTTAAGGATGAAACTGAACTGAACACCTTCCCAACTTCCTGTGCAAAGGAAACCCCCTCAGGAGCTGCAAGAAATGTGGTCCCTCTTGCCTTCACTGAGGGGAAAGAAAATCCTCCAGCTGTCAAAGAACCACAAGTCCAAGCTGCCACTCATAAACTGGAGGATGAGAAGGTATTTCCCACTTAAAAGAAATTAAAAACGGGGTGAAAGCTGGACTTTGAAGGCTCAGCAGGGCACTCAAATCCCTGTAAATGCAGCACCAGCTACAGCAGGAATCTGTAAATCCAGAGCTGTTACTCCAACAGCTTCTGGAGGCTCCTGGCTGGGGAATCTGCCTCTTCCCAAACTCTGCAGGATTTGCTTCCAACCTTCCCCGCAGCTGCTGCTGGAGCCCTGGGAGCTGAGTCACTGCAGAGCCAGGGCCGGCACTGCCGGAGCTGACACAGCCCTGCGGGAGCCAGGGCGTCCCTTCCCACAGGGCATGCTGCAGGGAATGCTGCAGGGAATGCTCCAGGGAATGCTCCAGGGAATGCTCCAGGGCATGCTGCAGGGAATGCTCCAGAGCGGCTGGGGACACACAGCGGGGCTGCCCCACGGCGGGGCTGCCCCACAGCGGGGCAAGAAGGGCTGTCCCACAGCAGAACCTGCCCCACAGCATGGCTGCCCCACAGCGGGACCTGCCCCACAGCAGGGCTGCCCCACAGCACGGCTGAGGGCTGCCCCACAGCGGGACCTGCCCCACAGCGGGGCAAGAAGGGCTGCCCCACAGCACGGCTGCCCCACAGCACGGCTGCCCCACAGCGGGACCTGCCCCACGGCAGGACCTGCCCCCCGGCTGGCTGTGCCGGTCAGTCCCCGGTCAGTCCCCGGTCAGTCCCGGTCAGTCCCGGTCAGTCCCGGTCAGTGCCGGTCAGTCCCGGTCAGTGCCGGTCAGTCCCGGTCAGTCCCGGTCAGTGCCGGTCCCCAGGGATGTGAAATCACCGCTGGAATGTGCGGCGCTGCCAGGCGAAGGGACAGGCAAAACGTTCTCTGTGGGGGAAACTCGCTGGTTAAAAAAGATTGGGAATCCTTCTGGAACGTCCCTGCCCCGCTGGAAAAAGAACCAGCACTCCTCAGTCCGGGTCTCAGCGCTTCCCACCCTGACCGGACCCTTCCATCCCAAACTGGATCCTTCCATCCCAAACTGGATCCTTCCATCCCAAACTGGATCCTTCCATCCCAAACCGGATCCTTCCATCCCAAACTGGATCCTTCCATCCCAAACTGGATCCTTCCATCCCAAACTGGATCCTTCCATCCCAATAAGTTCTCTTCCTGCTGTTTTATCCATTCGGATTTCCTTTAAAAATGGACTGATCAATCCCAAGTGTCAGCTGAGAACAGTCCCAAAAACTGGGGAAAACTCCAGCTGAACCACTCAAACTCGACCCAGGAGAGCTCCAGGTTAAAAGCGACAGAAACACTCAGAGATAATTCCAGGGGATCTAAAATTCCAGTAATTCCATGTGCTTTGCCTCAGAAGCAAGCGGGACTGTGTGATTTGCTCAGCAGACTGACCTGCACCTCTGCAGGACCGAAAGGCTGAGGGAATCAGGACTTTCACTCTGCAGGACTTTAATGATCAAACTCCCCCCTGACAAAGTTCATGTTTGCTCTGCTGAACTAAAGCAAACAAAGCAAAGCAGCCAATTAACTGCTAAACTCATCAGCCTCGATTGTCATTTATTGAGAACTGAGCATTGACACTGCTCCGCGGGTTAAACAGCACTAAAAAAGGCATTTAAAGATGTCATTTGCACGGCAAACCAGGAACGAACTGATGACAATTTCCAACAGCACTGTTAACGTCAAATAATTTCAAATCCAGCCTCAGCTTGTTGAAAAATAATAAAGTGGCATGAGGATAGTTTGAACAAGGGGGATATTCAACTCTGCCGGGGTGGGGAAGCTCCTGTGCACAAACTGCTCAGCTCCACACAAACTGCCCCAGGAATTCCCAGGCATTCCCACCCAGCCCCAGGACGTTCTTCTCCTCAGAGCTGCCAGTCCAGCTTTTACATCTGAAGCCATGAATTAATTTTTGCAGCTGTCCAGGGCTGGGAGGTGCAGCAGGCACACACAGACGTGGCCACTGACTTCTGGAGCACCACAGGAGCGGCTGGGGGGGACAGGAAAGCTCCTGGTGAGATCCTGACGTGCAAAACCATTTTTAAATGATCATTTTTAAATGACCACAGAGCATTTCTGAAGCTCCCCTGGTTTGGAAGGAGCTAAAGACTCAACCAATGCCATGGCAGGGACACCTCCCACTGCCCCAGGCTGCTCCAAGCCCTGTCCAGCCCGGCCTGGGATCCTTCCAGCCACAGGGAAATCCACCCCAGCCCCTCACGGGGAAGAATTTCTCCCCATACCCAACCTAAACTCGCCACTTGAAAGCCATTAAGCTTCTGAAGCAGCTCTGGTTAGAAGACAACATTGCAGGTGGAAAACTGAAACATTTTAATCTTTATTTCCAGAAGATCCTCACTCAGCTTTAAGGAAAACACGGCTGCTACTGGCTTGGCTTTTCCACCTCATCCTTCCAAACCTTGTCTTCCTACAGGAACCCTCAAAATAATATAAATAAATAAAATAAAACCCCCTTTCCTCCCCGAGGTGGGACCTCCCCCACCAAACCAAAAAGCTGCTGGAATTAAAGCATTTTTTGAAGGAGAAACACCGAGCTGGGATTTATTTGCAGGGGAGAGATGGCACAGATGCCACCCCCGTCCTGGTGACACGGGGACAGCCACGGTGGCACTGAGGGCTCGGGCTGCACTGGAACAAAACCCAACGGGCAGAGCCCCCAGGAGAGCTTTGGGGGGTCTCACGTGAACCCCGAGCTCTGGGGGGTCAGGACTGCACTGAATTTCAGCAGAGCACAGATCTGACAGCCGGGGGAGCCCCAAACACCCCGAAGCGACAGCTGGGACACCCCAAAGCCGACTGGCACAGCTCCGACCGCCAGAGCTGGGCACTGCAGCCCTGGCACCCCCCGACCCGGGGTGCCTCACCCAGAGACCCCCAAACCCGGGTTATTTCACCCTGGCACCCCCAGAGCCGGGTTATTTCACCCTGGCACCCCCAGACCGGGGTACCTCACCCAGAGACCCCCAAACCCGGGTTATTTCACCCTGGCACCCCCAAACCCGGGTTATTTCACCCTGGCACCCCCAGACCCGGGGTACCTCACCCTGGCACCCCCAGACCGGGGTGCCTCTCCCTTAACCCCAGTCCCGGGGTCTCTCACCCTCAGCCCCCCGCAGCTCCCCAAAGGCGCTGCCCGAAGCGGTCACACCCGCAGGCCGCCCTCACCGAGAGCCCATCTCTCCCTTAACCCCCGTCCCGGGGTCTCTCACCCTCAGCCCCCCGCAGCTCCCCAAAGGCGCTGCCCGAAGCGGTCACACCCGCAGGCCGCCCTCACCGAGAGCCCCCCATGCCCCACAGCGGCCCCGGGATGACTCAGC